GGGGCCAGATGGGAGCCAGCACCCCCTCGACGGACAGGCCCCTGCCCCATTCCCACCCCAGGCAGGCAGGGAGCCCCAGGCAAAGCAGCCCCCCATGTTTTACTTACACCACCCAGAAGCCCACGGTGCCCGAGATGGCCAGCAGGATGGGGAGCAGGGCCCAGCCCCACATGGTAGAGACCTAAGCAGGGGAAGGGGGTGAGAGGCTGGGGAAGGGGGGAGAGCCCCCCCCTTTCCCTCTCCAGAAGGCTGGGCTCCCTCCCCCCACCAAAGAGAGGCTGCAGCCTGGGGAGCCCTTTAAAACATCCCCCACCCCACCCCCTCCTACTATTTAAAGGCACGGGGTGCCTCTTATGTCCTTCCCCCTTTGCAAGAGTGTGGGGCTGCCCTGGGAGAAAGGGGAGGTGCTGGGGGATCTTGGAGGCACCTGCTGAGGTATAATTAGGAGCATTAAATATACACACACACACACCACCCTCTGGCCCCGGGTCAGATCTGGAGGAGGCAGCCCCCCCACGAGTCAAGGGGTCTGGGTTCTCTCCCAGCTCTGAGCAGGGAGTGGGGCCTAGTGGCAGACAGGACTCCTGGGTTCGCTCCCAGCCCTGAGTGGGGAGTGATGTCTAGGGGTTAGAGCGGGGGGGGCTGGGAACCCACGTTCCTTTCCTGCTTTTGCCATTTCTGACCACCCCATCTGGGTGCCTCAGTTTCCCCCAGTGAGCGAGGGTGGATGTGTACCTACCCCTCAGCTGAGCCTCTGGCACAGAAACATTGTCTGAGCCGGCTGCCTGGCTCCTCTGTCCTGCCCCGCCACCTGCTATGGCTCCACCCCGGGACAGAAAGCAAAACTCTGTGACAGCTGGGGCCAAAGTGCAGCACGCAGAGGGCTGTAGTGCGGAGGGACTCTCCGTGCGGGCGGGGCTCCCCCTGATACATCACAGGTGGTTCTGGGGCCCCAGCTAGCTTCCTCCATCATATTGGCTTGCATGGGACCCTGGGCAGGTGAGTGTTTAATGTTCTTAAAAACACAGACTCAGGACCCCTGGGTTCTCTTGCCAGATCTGGGGGGGCAGTGGGGTCCAGTGATTGGAGCAGGGTCTGGGCACCCTCTCCCCCTGGCCTGGAGCCAAGTCAGGAGTGGTGCTTCCTAGAGAGAAAAGATCCTGTATCCTGCCCCACAGTCAGCCTGTCCCCCCCACCCCTTGATCCCTCCCTCGCCAGCCCCATGTGGGCCTCACCAGCGGTTCGGGGTGGTCTGGGTGTCACTTGGCAGCACTCTCCATCCTAACCGAGCCCAGGCGGCTACCCAGCGCATCTCAGCTGGGAGCCGTGAGTCCTGCCGCC